GAAGGAATTTTATTAAAACAGTCAAAACTATTTTTATCGCACATAAATATTTTCTTGACAGGAAAATGCTTTTTTCGAAGTGCCATATGATATTTTGGAGGTACGAGAAAGCTCGGCTAAGTATCTCCGTGTCAGTCGGACAGAGCGATGACTTGGCGGAATGATATTGTATCAACAAGATTCGCTCTATGAGTTGATTGTAAGACCAGCAAAGACAGACTTTTGCGAATTGGTGTTTTATTGCCAAAATGCACAATGCGAAATCTGAAGATTCTGCAAAGCAAGATATTGCGCACTATTACTAACGCCTTATGGTATGTCTGTAACGAAACCCTTCACAGAAACTTCGATGTCCCTTACCTGAGAGATTACTCTAAACAACCGCAGCGGCGCTATAGCTAAGCGGAAAAGAGCAGCAGCCCGCTGTGCAATCTAAGTTAATTCGTGAATTTAGAACAATCAAAATCAGAGTATTTTGGCTGAATCCTTACAAATATCAGGCCATATGAAAATATATCAAGTGATACTAACAATGTCTAAATGTTCCCTGTCCTAAAGGATTCTCTTCTTCCTCTTTGCGATCTGTCTTCCCCATCGCCTTTCCTTCCCTTTTTCCTTTAAAATTATCTGATTACGAGACCCGTCAGACTTACAAACTGCTACTATGGTATAAAAGCTAGGATCCTACGAACTGCTCTGATAACCAACGATGACCTGACTTGACTGCCCTTTTGGAGGGAACTTACCGCTTTGTTCCCATTAGACCTCCTAATCTTCTCAAAGAGTGGCCAAGTTAGCAAATAATCAGGAGACTTGACTTAAAGTTAGGATGGGGGAGCCCAACAGGCTAAATGGGTTGTTATTCGAGAGGTATCCCTCCTTATTTTAATCTTGCACGCTCGAGTCAATCCTCAAAATCCCCTATTGGGCTTCCCTATTATTAAGGCAGCAGCGGTGGCCGCAGTAGTAGACTCTTCGGTCTCCTGATCAGTCGCCGTGCGCTGTGCGGGTTCGAGTCCCGTCCCAGGAGAAATGTGTACATACTGGTCTTGTGAATGAAATCTAAGGAGAATCATTCGATAGTAGTGGCTACTGACAAGATCCATTACACCACTATACCTTGTACGAATTCCAACAAGAAAGAAATGCTATGGAATCGTCTAGAAATTTATTACACGTGTCTGGTGAAGATGCAGTTCCTAACAGAACATGCTTAGGAAAATGACAAACGGGTAATTCCGGATTGCCTGATAATCCAGGCTGCGAGCGATATTCTGCTATGGACGATGCTGCCGTCAAGAACATGATGAAACAAAATCCTTTTTTGACAACGCTAGGTAGGCTGGATTCAGTTATATAAACTAGTTCGGACAATGTGTGGGCGTTAGGATTATTGTGGGACTCTTCGAGATGGGTACCAGTTCCGTGAGAAGAACTTAAATGATTCTTTGCACATCTCTGCTTGCACCTTTCTTGAATCGGCTAATAAAAGAGGACGAAGAATGAAAAAATGGATTTCGTAACGAAAAAACTGTGAAAACCTTCTTCTTCCATCACTAAATCCATTTTGATAAGGAATTCTATGTTTAGTAGAAAAAATGTCAAACGACGTTCTGCTTTGGAAATTTACGCTAAATGGCAGAGATAGGTCGGGTAATTCTACCAAATCCTCCTTACTGACCAAACGTCGCACCCTCTAAAACTATCAGCCACATTTGTCTTTACCAGATTTTCGATAGGGTGAAAAGCTTGAAGACAGAAATTATATCCAACAAGCGTGAGATTAGTTTTTCGCACCTAGAGATAAGGTGTTGCTTAAAAATTGAATATACAGATTGCCGTCAAGACTATCCAAGGTTTAAAGAAAAATGTATCATCTTAAAACCCAAGGACAGAATCTTCCGGCAGGCCTAACATCTTCCTGTGCTAACTGACGCCTTAAAGGTAATTTCAGCCTAACATTTACAACAAAAATAAGGATGTTAATCTAGTGTTGCAAGTATGAAGTCTCTGGAGATACGAGATAACTCTATTCAATCACTGCCTTCTCGTGACAACCCGCCAGCTTGCTCATATACCGTATCTACCACACTTCCTCTAAATGATCTCACACGACGCCAAAGGAGAAAAGAGAGTTGACAGTTCGAATTAATTTAACCAAGGTGTACCTAACAGCATGATCTACATCATATTTTTCCCGGTGACTGCGTCTCGAGGAAAATTGGTTACCAGACACCGACTATGCGAGATGGCTGGAATAATATGACGGCGGGTTGTTTTCAACCTACACGAAGCTAACGAAGAATCTGAAAAATATGCTGAATATGTCGTTGGTTTGTATAATGTCTATTGTGGTTGCTTCTTGTCAATGTCATCCCAAAACTGTTACACTGTTTCTTTAATCCCTAGGCCTGGCAAGTAAAGCTGCTTTTCTAACATACACCGTGTTAGTTTGCAGCCTGAAGACTTTATCGGATAGTGATATCGGTTTAGCAGAAGTCAAACATGATCAAGAGATTTCAGTATAATAGATCATTTTATAGCCCTGATAGTTTTTGTTCAAGCTGCAGCAAAAAGTTCGACATAGACATACGATAGCAGTCGCATAGACACGTTCAAGAAAAACAATTCTAAACTATGGGCGGAGTAAATACGGTGGTCTTAGCGAGTTGAATATGTATTTTAGCACCTCTTTTACGTATTTATAGGACTCCAGGTCGGATCAAGTCACATGTATTACATTTTTTTCCATTTTAATGCCGACTTCCCTGCAATTTTCCATTAATATCATTATAAATTTTGTGTTTGTCTTGATTGTAACACAAATTACACGTGGTTCTGTTCTGTAATGCATGCTTAATCAGATCAAATACATAGTTTTTACAATCGGCCTAATAAAAGTGACTGATGGCCCTCCAAAGTCGTGTAGTCGTGCGTAGTTCATAAAAACTTTGAAACCCAAAATTCGATTACAAAAAACTATACATTTTTGAAAGTAAGCTTAATTTAAGAAACTTTTGTAGTCTGTAACCTTTCAAGTGATATTTTAGACATCACAAAAAAATTGTTAATTGGTTAAAATAACAGAAAACAGTTGGTTAGGTTCAAGAACAATCCTTTCAGTATTTCCTCGGATGTTATCTGTAGCCGTCGTCAATGCGGCTTTGACCTTTGGATTAACACTTTTTTGCTGGGCGCTTCTGTCGTGTATAATAATTATTTCGCTCGACCTCAGACATAAAGGTCCAATGGTGTCAGGTTTGTAGATCGTGGAGACAAAGGAATAGGACCAGCCTTACCTACAGGTTTGGAAAAGAATTGTCCAGAAAGTGTCGTAGATGTTGGACATAATGCGTAAGGCAGCGGCTGCCCAGGACCAGTTACATGGAAGGAATTATCTGCATTTCCTGGAGACCGTCATCCTGGAAGACAATAGGTGCATCCGATAAAATCGATAGCAGCATATTAGGCAGATAGTTATCTCCATTTACCAGGTCCTGCAATACATAATGTCCTATCCTAAGATTTCGTCCGGTAACGCCTACCCACACGTTGACGCTAAATCGTCTTTAAAACGATCTCTGTTTTCTCTGGTGTGAGTTTTGAAATGGCAGGGTTATTCTATAGAAAACCTATAAATAGTAAAAAAAATTATAAGATGTCATCTTGCGGAGTAGGTAGCTTTTAGGGTGCAAACATTCCATTTTTGTTCCCTCGGATCATTGTCGGCGTCCGTCTACCGAGGGATGACTCAACTACACGTACACGCATTGTGGGTTGCATATGTTCAGTGAAACCGAGGGATCTATAGTTTTCATCTCTGAGTCTCTGAGAATAAAGTTGGTTGTTCGATGGAATACATTTGCTGTGTGGGAAAATCATTACTGAATATGCTGCCAATGAAATATATCTATTAGCTGTGCCTGTTTTTCGGAAGACAGGTTATGCTCAAAGTTATCAATTACGATGTTTTTTAGTTTTTTTATGTTTTCAAAAACAATGAGTGTATAATAAATCGTGGATCCTCAACACATTTTTGAACCAGCTTCTGCAGTTACTTGACGAATCGAGCTGAAAATTTAATCATTTTACTAGTAAGAGGCACTGAACGTATATGCAAAAAATTATTAAAATCAGATAAACATACGTAGGTATTTACCTTTCTTTTGTCACTAACTATAGTGTGTAACTGATTCAAATTAAATAAAAACGTGAAAAACTAAAAATTAATTAACCCAGCTAACAGTTTTCTTTTATTTAGACCGAATAAGAAATTATTTCTATGAATTCTACCATAGCGTTGGAAAGGTAATAAGCCAGGGAAGTTTTATAAATAAAGCTAGGTTCTGAAAAACATTTAGTTTTTTTCGTATTCGAATATTGAGTTTCAAGGTTTTTTTCACTTCGCACAATTTTACGACCTTGGAAGGTCAGCAACTATTCTTAGAGGGCGTTTGTACGAACTGTTTATTCAATCTGATGAAGCATACATTACAGAACAAGTCCAAGTATATATATATGATATTATGTCGACAAGCAAAAGACTTAGAACGATATATATGCGCAATTGCAGGGAATTTACCACAAAAACGAAAAAGAATTATGTCTTGGTAACCGTAGCCCATAGAGCTAAATCAAATAGCAATTACCAAAAAAAAAAAAGATCGGGTCATCTATCGAAAGTCCTGTATTTCATTAACTTATTTTCGGTAAGATTCTGGAAATTTTGCGATGGCATTCCGGTGAGAGATGAAAATCCTGACTGCTTGTGTCAACTAAATCCGCAGTCACGTTGCAGCTACTATGAAGAAGCCTGTGATGTAGTTAATTTTTTTCTTACAAAATACATAAGTGACTGAGCTATGTGAGCTAGCTGTCTCTCAAAACATCTCGCAATCGGCGCTAGGAGCAAGTGGGGTCTTTTTACCAGCTGGAGCCCAACTACTGGATGGATCTTGGCATACAAATGCGTCAAAACCAGTTGTGTTATTTCTAAGAAGTATGTTCGTTGGAAATACTTTAATCGTATATAGAAACGTAAAAAGTTAAAATACAATATAATATAGTTTGGAGCTAGTGGCAACAAATGGTCTTCATGTTCCCTGTAGCTGCGACAGCTTCAATTTCCACTCTGGCGTTCATTGGAAGTTTTGATACCTGGAATGCTGACCTGGCTGGGAAATCCTTTGTGAAAACTGCAATTTTCAATAAGAATATAATTTTTGATGATACTCTGGCGCTTAAGGGAGCCTCGGTAGCTCGGTGCTTAGCTCATCCAGCTAGCAACCCGGGGCTCGCGTGTTGAAACGTCCGCCTCGGATGTTTAGTTCCGAGCCATGGACGTTGCGTTGCGTATTGTCTATATCACGCACGTGGGTTCAATATAAACGATAGGTATATCTCATCGCTGGAGTTGGTTTATTATATCAGGTACCAGCAGATGGCTCTTGGAGTAGTACAGGGCTGGTACTAAGGGCTCGGCAAAAAGGGTCAAAGGAGGCCTAGTTGCCAAGCTTTGCCTTCCCACTACTACTTCTACTTGGCTCTTCACCGAAAGAAATGAGCATCTGGAACCCGACAGCAACCCAACTCGGCATATTCTTCTGGTAGCCAAGTTGTTTCACTATGGTGTGAAAGAATCAGCATTTCAGTGTATAACAAGTTACTTAGTAAATAGGAAACAAACAGTAAAGCTCAATGAAGAATTATCTAGTGAAAGGGCAGTTGCATCAGGGGTTCCTCAAGGCAGCATACTTGGACCCTTACTGTTCAGTATATACACAGCAGATCTTCCCAGCATCCTCAAATATCAATGGAAAGTCCACATGTATGCAGACGACACGCAACTCTACAAATCTGGTGCAGCGAGTGACATCAACAGACTAGTGAGTGAGGTGAATGAAAATCTATATGCTCTAAGTGAGTGGTCCGTACAAGTTAGTTTACGTCTAAATCCAAGCAAAACTATGGCGACTGTTGTCGGTAGTAAAGTGATGGTGAACCGTGCTCTCACAATTAAATCCCAAGATATTACACTGAATGGGTCGGTTATTGATATAGCGGACAATGTCAAAAACTTAGGGATATTAATAGACAGCAACCTAACATTTGAATCTCAGGTAGCTAGTAAAATTAGTAGCTGTTATTTTAAGTTTAGGAGCCTTTGGAGACTCAAATATATTCTATCTGCCGATTTGAAATGGCGAATAGTCAATGCTGTTATACTATCTAACATGGACTAGGGTTTAATTGTTTTTTACACATATTAACTGCTAACTTGAAACACAAGGTTCAGGTTTTACAAAACTGTTGTTTACGGTACAGTTACAACACTATCAACAGGTTTGAACATATATCTCCACATTACAATAATTTGGGTTATCTGAAATACGATTCAAAGGCTGAATTGCAATACAGTACTATGTTGTATAAGTTGATCAAATATAGAAAACCATCATACCTTTATAACAATTTGACGTGGCTTTCCGATGTTCATAATTTAGCTACGAGAAACTCAAACTTATACGTTATTCCTACGCACTCTTCAAGCAAGTTTAAAAGTAGTTTTAGCTACATGGCTCCAACCATTTTGAACAAAGAGGTTGAACTATTTGACGAAAATTCCATACAACGGTTTAAAAAAATACTACAGGCTATATCTTCTTAACAAGCAAAAAGGTGTGTACTAATACGATGTTATTGTATCAGTTTCATGTATTGTAATCGTGAATTCCATCTATTATTTGGCGTTATGACCTTATCTCTATCTATTTATATTTTCTTTTTTCTGTAGTTACTTACTTGTCCATTTATACAGTTTAAGTGTAGAATGTACTCTTATATACTGATTGTAATATGTTAACCATGTTATTTAACTATATCTGTCTGATGTCTATTATCAATCTATTCATTCGCAATTTATCTATTTATATTAATGCCTTCGGAAGGGTTGAAAAATGTCCGTACAATACCCTTTCCTTTTGAGTTGTATCTCAATAAACGTTATTATTATTATTATTATTATTATATGTATTCAAATAGGAACGGCAACGCGACATGATGCTTAACGGTTGATTACATTGCTTGCGCTAGACGGCTTGCAGTTGGCCACCAGTTGATTAAAGATGTCATCTTTGGATGTCATTGCAATACTTTAGCTAACAGGTCGACTTCCTAAATTATGTAATTGCTGATCTTGATGAAAACTTATACATGCCGCCTCTGTGTTTTTTGCAATGAATCAGATACAGAACGCCCCTTACAACGAATTTACCAGCTGCTTGGCGGTTTGCTTCAGTGCGAACCCAAAAGGAAAGCAACCGAAGTCGAAGCCAGGTAGAAATCGAGTTGCCGTCGGGTTGGCTTTGACGAGAACAGTTCCTTACGGAAAGCAAGAAAAGTTCGAAGAAAATTAAGAAACTAAACCCACAAATATATCTCTTTTAGATACTCACATTCTTTATACACGTTATTAAGAGCGACGAAGTCGTTAAGGTCGCTGAGGAAAACTGTCACTTTAACCACTTTTTCGTAAGACGAATTGGCTGCTTGAAGTATGGCTCCTAAGTTTCGTAATGTCTGCCTAACCTCCGCGGAGAAGTCCCCGTCAACTAATTTCATCGTGTCCTTGTCCATCCCGATTACTCCTGACACGTACAGGGTCGTATCCAGGACTACGCCTTGACTAAAAAAACCTTGAACTATAATATGAATAAGGAGAGTCCAGAAAATGTTCCACCAATTTGACAACGCTACGTTATGGGGCCGTCAATGACACCGGTGTTTTGGAGAGAAGTGAGTTGGATTTAGGAGGAGTATTGTTTTATAAAGGCCTTAATAATTGAGCTGCCATCTAGCAGACTGTAAGCCTCTCTGCGGCCTAGGCTATTCCCTTAAGTGTAGGCGCTTATTTCATATCTATCAAAGCCGAGTGTCGAATTATGTGCAATTTTGGTCATTGTACTTAATTTGCCTAGCAACGGTACATAAAAATGAGGGTTTTGCCCTACAAAGTCCTGTAATATCTTGGTACTTGCTATAAGAAAACCTTGCCCCATCTCTGATGGATAATTAAGGTAGGCATATTTCAAATCAAATGCTAATTTGGCACGAGGATCCACGAAGGAGTAGTAACTAGAACTCCACCTCAAATTTAAAGTTGCTATTGCCTCTAGATTTTTCACACTCATATTCATTTACATCCGATCAAATGACCGTTGGGTAACAAGTCCGATAGCTTGAAACGCCGAGAGGCGAAAATGGAAATTTTGCCTTGAAAACGTCCTAGGTAAAATTCTGAGACAATAATAATAATAATGAATGTCTTCATGACCAAGAGACGGAGTTCACAGCGTGTGCTCTTCCACTGAACCTTAAGAAAATTGCAAAAAATAAACAAAAGTCATGAATAAATGTATGAATTATATGTTTTGGTGATTGATTCAAAGGTTAAAAATTGAATTATATATATATAACCATACTAATTGGTGTAGTTCTTCAAACATTTCATCCGCTTCTTAAAGGTTATCCACTCCCACAAACCCCTGAGGCATGCTGTTATATTTCTTAGCTATTTGGAAGCTGAAGCGCATATATAGGTGAGAGGGGTAATAATCACCCTAGATCTAAACTATTAATAGTGTCTTTAGGAATTTGATTTTTTATACGGGCGAGAATTTATAATCTTCTTATTTCTCATATCGATTAATTTAGTTTCTAATTTTTTTACTAGATGAGCTCATATTTTCTGATGCCATAAATAAATCAACCACATGAGCTATGAGCAATTTCAATTTTCGTATCGAAACAGCTAAGGAATTCTCGTATAGAAGAAAGGTACTACAACAGTGATAGATCAAGACTTTCACATAAATATTTTTATCTTCATAATTCGGATATTCTTGGTGAGGATAATTGATCCTGATTGCAGAATGGGCATTACGTGTGAGTATTCCCTATGCACAATGCAACAATCTTGTACAAAGCTTCATAGCTTGGGTGCCTGAGGAATAAGGGATTTGTGATGATTTTGTATCAGTGTTGCACCAAAAACACTCCTGAAACGATTGCAGTTTTATTATATCTAAAGTATTTTCTAGCCCAATATAGTAAAAATAAGCAATAGTTATGTTACTCACAGCTTGTTCCGACGCAATATTACCTGAATGGGGCATTGTGTCTGGGTGCGTTCTTTGTTGTGATAATTTTTTTCGTAAGTGTCATTCCAGTTGATTGAGATTTTGCCTGTTTCTCCGCGCCGATTTTTTGTATGCCAAAAATTCTTTCAAATGCCATTATGACGTTGACAGTTGAAGTTTTTCTGATTATACATGGTGCTCTATGTGATATGACCGAATAAGTCTTTGTATGTGACCGAGATAAGATTGATACTTTTCAATCGTAGAAGATATATTGATTACTATTTATGAAGATATTTGAAGCACATAGTTAATATTCCAGAAGCTACACTGAGACAAATTCCCCAGTACAATTTTCAGCCTTCGACGCATAAGCGATTGCATCAGTTACGTCGCGCGCACCGGCGGTTAGGGCATATATTATTAAAATATGAATTGAATACGAAGCTCGTAGAAATTGCGCAACTACTTTGCACGATAAACACAATAAAATTTCCTGCGCAAGTAATTCAATATCTCTATATCACAGTTTAGAAGTTTATCATGTGTATGAAATCCACAATGGCCGCCGGTACGTAAGTAAACAAGATGACTGTAATGTGTCATATATTCTTCACTTCACCTATACAATACATAAAAAATAGTTTGGTTGCAATAAAGTAGAATCGTGTAATAACAGAATAGTTGTATAGTTGACAAAATCTAATTCTTGCAAATGTTCTATAGCGGCTGCAAGCGGTTTACACATTTGTTGTATAACTATTACCTGCAGCCCTTATACAACCTCTTAAATGACTGAAGTGTCCTATTACGTGTGCCCATTCCGCTTGTAAAGCTGTTATAAGAGCGTTTTGCCAATGTTCTTACAGCATATAATGCTGTGTAAGGAATACTGTATAATCGTTCTTGCAACTCTAATAGGAGTGATAATTGTTAGTTGAGCCCAAACTTCGCAATTCTGGAATCTTTGTGCAAAATTCACCCATTGTCGAACATTTTTTCAATTTTTATATAAGCGCATGGTTACAACATTTTCTACTTCAGGTCTACGATGGAACACACTAAAGGCGGGTTCACATTAGTCAATCGTATTGATCAGTAATAATGAATCTATGCCATTGAACATAGGATTGAATGGTAAATTTGATCACACTGTGCAAATCGATAGAGCAATATGGTTGAACGGATGTTCACGTTAGACCATTTAACCTCAATGGCTTAGATTCATTATTATTGATCAATAAAATTGACTAATGGGAACGAGGCTTAAGACACAAAATATATATAAAAAGATGTTACTCTCAACGCTCATTGTGTATTGATTTGTTTCAACTACTATTTTTATTGTGAGCACAATGAAGATGCACCTCTATTTTTATATATGTTTTGTGCCTCAATGTGTTTCATTATAGATCTGAAGTAGAAAGTGTCGTATAAATTAAAACAACTGCATATTAGAAAATGGGTGAATTTAGGAAAAAATTACAAAATTGCAAACAAATTAAAGACTAATCAGGTATTGATGATAATTTAAAATACCTACATTATATGTTCTGAAACATTCAAAGACAATAATTTCATAGATGCTGTCAATTAGAAAGACAGTTCGTTTCAGGACGGGAAACTTAGCTTATACAGGTGTTGATCAATTATACTAAGTGACATATAAATCCGAACACTCAGTTTAAATGGTTTTATTTTAATAAAAGTTGGTGAATGTATTTATCTTACTGTAAATAACAAGTGAAAAAATTTTCAGCCTTATCAGTTGGACATTCCGGTTTTTATACTGCTTTTTTTCAATTCACTAACGCTCTAAAAATGAATATTTCAGCCGCAGTAAAGAATCAGCGTTGGCGGATTTTGGTTCTTGACATCCTTTACGATCGGTTACGATGCCTAGAGTACGGAGACCTGTACGATTTCGTCAACTTAGTGAGTTTGATAGGGGCCGTATAGTGGGACTTCGGGAAGCTGGACTTTCTTTTCGGGCAATTGCAGTTAGAGTGCAAAGAAGTGTAGACACTGTGGTTAGGTGTTGTCAGGCATGGCTTCGAGAAGGCCGTACGCAAAGAGCATGGGGCACTGGACGCCGCCGTAGAACAACAGACCGTGAAGATCGCCGCCTAAGATTATTGGCCTTATGGGACCGTTTCTCCACTACCATGTCCATTGCAAATGAATGGTTTGCAGAACACGGAAGACCTATTGGCATGCGAAGTGTTTACCGACGAATGAGAAGTTTTGGCTTGTTTTCATACCGGCCACACTGGGTCCTCCCTTTAACTCGAGAACACCGACGTAATCGCCTTGAGTGGTGCAGACAACGCTCACTATGGGATCAGGAATGGAACGGTATTGTCTTTAGTGACGAGTCTCGATTTTGTTTAGGCATGCACGATGGTCGTGCCAGGGTTAGAAGGTGACGTGGTGAAAGGAGGAATCCACAGTTTTTTGTTGAAAGACATGTTCATCACACTGTTGGAGTTATGGTTTGGGGTGCTATAGCTTATGGTTCCAGGTCACCTTTAATCTTCATCAGAGGTAACATGAACGCGCAGCGTTATATTCACGAAGTTCTAGAACCCCATCTTTTACCCTATCTTGACACCCTGGCAGATCCAACTTTCCAACAAGATAATGCCCGACCACATGTTGCAAGAGTCACAATAGACTTCTTTCAATATAATGATGTCACATTGTTACCATGGCCACCAAGATCTCCCTACTTATCCCCAATTGAGCACGTGTGGGATATGATGGGTAGGAGATTGCTCAATTTGCAACGTCCTCCTCAGACTCTAGAAGCACTTCGAGAGGAGTTGGTGGTTGCCTGGAATGAGATACCACAGGAGGACATTGACCACCTGATCAGAAGCATGCCTAGGCGCGTTATAGAATGCGTAGCACATCAGGGTGCATCCACACATTATTAAAGGTCAAAGGGCTTTAAAGAAGTGCAATCATTTTGAAATGTTTATCATTTACTTATTATGCTTCATTAAGTACTTATACAAAATTTTATTAAAATGAAACCATTTAAACTGGGTGTACGGATTTACGTATATATGTCACTTAGTATAGATACTACTTAGTGCATGATGTTGCCTTGATTATTCTTTCTTTCTCATAGCATCATCATCATAATTTGTTTTTTCTCCATCAATCTGTTTATTTGTACACGTCTTTAACATAGCCTCAATGTCAATGTCATTTGTTTCAATGGCAATATATTGAAAAACATGGAACGCTGCTATTCGCTACCTGTGCTTTGACAGTACCACCTAGCGGCTGATGCACATTTATGTTTGTGATTGACATGTGCAATATAAAAATAAAGACATTTAGGCGATTCGAAGTCAGGAACAATGCGAGTTTCAAACTGACAGTTCTCGTTTGATCTGACAAATTATGACAACGAAATATTTACTTTATGCCAGGCCCTAGTTGGCCCCAGATGGCTCAGATCTTATCATGAAGACCACGCCCATGTTCCATTATGAAGCCAACGATGTTGCCCTTTTTGTCCACTACGTGCGCGGCTATCAATTTAGCTCCCCCACTACGCGCTTCGCTTACTCGCGAATAAACATAGAATTCAAATATTCCAGTTGCTAAGGAACGGGGTGTTGTGAACTTCTAGTACAACTTTCTACCTAGTGAAGTGGCATTACCATTCTTACTCAATGGATACGGTTTGCTTTTATAGTATATCAATTACCTTGGTAATTTATTCACAAAAAAGCATAACCAGCGTAGGAATGACGTAATTTGCTTATTTCTTAGACGAAATACGGAATTCAGAAATATTTTCCCCAATATTCTCAAATGTTACATTCATTTACCCTTTCAAATGCCAGTGTGGTCCAGAATGGTCGTTATGAGGTATATTTTCTCCAAAGGTATGGAATACATCACTAAAATTCGGTTGTTAGTATCCACAGAATCAATTTGAGACATTTATTCACCCTAGTCAGATAAGTTTAGTGGTCCCTGAGGTAGAATAGCGGATCTTTATTGTTCTTTCGTGCGAAATGTGTATGTTGATGTTTTCGAATATCATCATGCAAATAACATTGGTTATGTGCTTTTTTACAGTGTATTACGACTAGCAATATGCGTGAAGAGGTTCGTGTCTCAGTTATGGCTCGGGGTTGACCATGGGACAGCTAAGTTGCAATCTAGGACATACGCAATGGATATAAGTATGTACGACCTTGAGGGAGCAAACGGAAATTTTCTTTGACACTTGAACCTGACATCTTCTACGTTGATGATCGCACTGGGTACTATGCTATTCAGACAGCCCAAACGCCATGGGCTCCACTTAAAGAGAAATGGTGCTTACGACCGTTTGGCTGGTGTTAGCCTGAACCACTGTAACCCATATTTCGCAGCATGGTTTCTGGGTTTCAGCCACGTAAGGTACTTCTTTTGTTTGTTATTAGTGCGGCCTTGATGCCCGAATTCAAAACTGAACAATTCGGTCAACCATTAATTTTCATGCGTCTCCTTATCATTTGAAGAGGTAATCCACTAATACTCAAACTCGCTCAGCTACGCCCTGCAAGAGTACGTTCGCTCATCTCTGGCCAGCCACGATTAAGCCGCTCAGTTCAAGCTCACGCGTAACTGAGCGAGTTTGAGTGGATTCGGTGGCGCAGACTGATCTAAAATTGACGACCATCGAACCATACAGGTTTGAATATCTGATCGATAGACCATGATTTTGTTATGGAGCGATAACTTTAAGGGTCTTCTCAGTAACCAGAAATATTGCTTGTAACAAAGGTTCAGTTCTCTATTTTTTTATGTGGCATTTCGACATGGATCTCGTGACAAAGGGTTATACCTGATGGTGCTTTTCCACTGAATGGACAAAACAAAACAGTGCAACAAAATCGTGTCAAATAAAAAAATACTGAAACCATTCCCAAACTTTTTGAATTGGTCACATCAAAAGATTCCGACGTGTTTTGAAACTCGAGTCTGTTGAGTGGAAATGGTCATATTATGTTTTCTATGTCCGTCTTGCTAGTCTGAATACGAATTTCGTACCAAATTAGTATATAAATAAATACCGTATTTTGAATAGGTATATAAATTTGTTTTGAGACGCAGGTTGGATTTATAAGTACATTAAGCTTTGATAACAATAGCAAG